ACATTTATGTAATACAGGAATTTATACCTCCTTGGTTTCTGAGCCTACTATTTCCATCCCAAACCCCTTATTTTGAGAAAATTGGCATATGGATGGAGCATGACATAACACAGATTCACGTAACTCAGCCAACCCCACATAAACCAAAGATTACAGCTGGAGATAAAAGAAAAACAAACGCTTTTCATGTAATGACTATCCTGAAGAAATTTAAATGGTAAACCTAGCCTGAATTCTCAGGGCTTTTATTAGGCCATAGAACTGATCATACCCAAATAAAATATTTAAGTGATGGGTCGTTAGAGTCAGCACTTAAATTTTAATCAAATCCTCATGCTACTTAATTTCTTTCTATTAATAATCATCAAACGATATTCCCATGCAAGTGTGCATAATACATTATGAAGAGTTGCTTCAGAGAAGTAGATCCAAGTTTTAAAAAAACTAATTCCTATTGTTTTGAAAATATAAAATAATGGCCATTTACGCTCCTGTGATTTTTATCATTTAGAGAATTATAGATTTATAATGTTGCTCCTTAACAGAGCAGATCATTGACTTTATTGTGGGCTTAAATACACTTGGATTTAATAACAACACTTGCTGTTTCAATTACAACCATGACCTTTTTTTTAAACTTCTCCAATTGTTTCGTGTTATACTTCTTTCATAGGCACACAGTGCTGGGCCTGGAGTCAGGAAGACTCGTCTTCCTGAGCTCAAATCTGGCCTCAGACACTTACTAGCTGTGTGACCCTGGGCAAGTCACTTAGCCTTGTTTGCCTCAATTTTCTCATCTGTAAAATGAGCTGGAGATCTCTGGCAAGAAAACCCCAAATGAGGCCACAAAGAGTTGGACATAATTGAAACAACTGAAGAACATTTGTTCCGGCAGATGAGAAGCCAATTTACTTGGCAGTGACAGTCCAGTTCTATACAATCATGGAACTGGTCTGATAGGAATATCTTTAGAGATCTTAGTATCACAAAACCAGACTGGACCTTCAAGGTCATACATCAACTAAGTCTTGATACATACTATGTGCCAGGCACCTGTCTAACTCCTCATTTTATAAATGAAGAAACCAAGGCCCGCCAAGGTTGAGTGACTTGTCCCAGCTCTCACAGACATAAACAGCATCTATCTATGAACTCAGCTCCTGATGTTCAGAGCTCAGCTCTCTGGCACCTTGCTGCCTCTATCTGGATAGTGTAGAAAAATGCAGGGCTAGACGGGTCTTTTTCTAAATATTTGTACACTGAAATTAGGCTTAATTTTATCCCAATCCAGGGAAGCAGATATTTATGTCTGAATCTCTTTGAAGTGGGATAGTGTAATTTAAAAGTAATGTATGAAGTTTATATTTGTGTTTGTGTAACTGTGCTGTCAAAATCAGTCAACAGAGCGCCATGAATTACTGACTAATGACTCATGGAAAGGACTGGGAAAGTTGTCTCTCTGGTTTCATACCATTAATTTATAATTGCAGTAACAAAATAGGTAGCTAGGTGGCACAGTGGATAGAGCTACAGGCCTGGGAGTCAGAAAGGCTCATCTTCCGGAGTTCAAATCTGGCTTCAGATACTTACTAGCCGTGTGACCCTGGACAAGTCACTTAACCCTGTTTGCCTCAGTTTCCTCATGTAAAGTAAGCTGGAGAAGGAAATGGCAAACCATTCCAGTATCTCTGCCAAGAAAACCCTAAGTGGCGACAGGACTGAAATAGCAAAATAGCCAATAAGATATTACAGGTTAGTTCCAGGTCATCACAAGGTCAACATTTCACAATTTTGTATTTTATAACTTATTTCAAAAGAACAATTTTAGTCTACTTCTGGTGGTCAAAAAGCACTTAAGATAACAACCAAAAAAAGATTTAACAATTTAGTTCAACAAATACTTACGAAATGTCTACTAAGTGCAAAGGCCCTGGGGATTTTTTAAAGAGGTGCAAAACTGAAAGTCCATATATTTGGGGAGACTGAGTTCCATCTTAGCTCCAAAGTAACTTGGATATTTTTTATTTTCTCCAAGAGAGTAAGCTTTTTACATATATAGTTGAAGGTGGATTTTATAAGAGCTTAACGTGCATATGTGTCTGTGAAAATTAAGAATTTTCATAAGGAAAACCATCTTTCATCTTTAGTGATGATAACTAATTGTAGTTTCGTTTAAGTTCTGGTTTTCATCTTTATTCTTAATTCAAAGAGTTAGTGGGAGTTATATTAATACTTTTATTCATGCATTGGCATTTTTCTAAGGAACTTCCAATTTATACATTTACATAATTAGGATCATTAGCACTTGGAAGCGACCTCAGAAATCATCTAATCCAACCCTCTTATTTTGCAAATAAAGAAAAGGAGACCCTAGGGAGATAAAGTCCAAGATCACCCAAGGAGAAATGGGTAGAATTGGGATTCTGTCCCAGGTCCTTGGACTCCAAAACCAATGCTTTTTTATTAATCACTGAGGAGAAAAGCAAAAAACAAAAAAACCCACTTATTTTCCCCCATAATATGAATAAGATGTGGATATTTGGAAATTGAGTATACTTTGTGTGCAATGTTAGTTTTCTAAGACTAACTAAATTAGAAAAAATAAATTTGCTACAAAGTTTGGAGGAAGAGAGAGAGGAGGAAAAGGATATACAAGGAATTAACAGTGATATAAAAAATAAATGGCCTCAATAACTAATAAAAACCCCATTAAAATAAAAGGGCATCTAATAATTGCCACTTAGGTAACGACAAATAACAAATATGTAAGTTTTACTCTTAATAACGTTATCTTAAGTACCGTGGCTTACGTACAACTGTATTCCACACTGCAACAGGGCCAAACGTTACTCCCATGTCTTGTAACCTCAGTTCCACAGGTGTAAGTCTGCTCAAGTATTGCAAAGAAAACACTCCAGGAACACCCACTAATTTGGAAATTCTTCAGGCAGTGTGTGGTTTGTGGCTTTCTGCTTCAACACTGTTAGGTTGGAGCCCAGACCCTAATAAGGGATGAGAAACACTGCAGAATGGGTACAACAGATTTCTTCATCTGCTCCTCAAGGATTACGTTTAGCCTGAGAGATGCTAGGAATGCACCTGAGTCCTGACTGTGGGAAGACAGTAGGCTGAGGCTGAATTGGTCAGGCAGCGCAGGGATGGAGCTGATTTTTGAGTGTCCCGAGGCTTGGCTCTGTTTTGCTTCTGGAAATGAGAATATTTTTGAGAGGGGAGGCTGAATTTGGGATGGAGGCTGAGTTTAGAAAAAGGGCATTTTGATCAGCAGGGCATAATTTTATGCCATAAAGTCTCAGGAGAGTAAAATTATGGAGCATATTGATTGGAGTAATAGAGCACCCATAGTTTTTGGAGTTCCAAGAACCAGGGTTCAAATTCTACCTCTTGGGCCAGTCTTATTTTCTGGAGCTCAGTTTCCCCTTCCGTAAAAATAACGGTTTGAATAGATAATCACTAAGGTACCTTCGAGCTGGTGAGATGAGGGCAGAAGCTTGCATTAGGGCAGGTTCCCCACCCCTGCATAAGGCATACCCCATAGGAAATGGGGGAAGGGTTGTAGAGTTTCATGGATGTGCTGGGCTAACACCATACTTATATTTTCAGTGAGAGCATTTACACCCCAGAAAATCTGCAAGCAATCTCTGCAGATCGTGGTTTAATGAAGCATTGTGTTGATTGTGCAGGTAACACAGTGGACAGAGCATGGGCCAGGCTTCAGGAAGACTGGAGTTCAGATCGAGCCTCAGACACTTACTAGCTGTGCTACCCTTAACTTAACCTGTTTGCCTCAGTTTCCTCAATTGTCAAATGGCAAAAATAACAGCACCTACCTCCCAGGGTTGTGGTGAGGATCCAGTGACATAATCATTGTAATGCACCCAGCATAGTGCTTAGTACATAGCTGGTGCTATAGTATCATTATGATTAAGAAAGTCTTAATAATGCAGATTAAACTTAAAAGTGTGTGCATACCTTTTCTTCTACCAGCAAGCCCCTGTATTGCTATAAACACTGTTTGAGAAAATGTTTTCCGCATCCAGAGAGAATGAACTCTGAGTGCAGAAAGCATACTTTTTAACTTTATTTTTCTTGCCTTTTTTTATTTTTTGCAGTATGACTAATATGGAAATATGTTTTGCATGACTTCACCGGATATCATGTTGCTTGCCTTCTCAATGGGTGGGGAGGAGAGAGGAGGGGAGGAAGAGAATTTGGAACTCAAAATTTTAAAAAATGAATGTTAAAAATCAATTTTTTAAAAAATTGAGCTCAGCAGGAGTGCACTAGAAGACTCAGGAATGAAGTCATCACCTGGTGACTGTAGACTGACAATCATGATAATAACATTATCATTAGTAACAACCACAACTGTCATTTGTATACAGTGTTTCAAGGCTGGCTTCCATTATTGCATTTCAGGCCCACACCCCCCTGAAGGTGGGTGCCCTACCCCTAATTACTAATAGCTCTGAGGGATACAGTGCTCCCAGGTGTGCAAAGGGCTTGACTGACCTGGTGGGATCTGGTTTGAGCTTCAGAACAACCCTGGAAGGCAGGCGATATGTCTTTCGCCCATTTTACAGATGTGGGCACTGAGGCCCGGAGAGGATCCCTGTCTTGCACGGAGTCACAGCTGTCACGCGGCGGTGGTGGAGTTCGAACTCGCGGCGCTGCGCGCACCAGAGTGACGGACTGCGGCGCTCAGAGACTCCGGGCTGGGAACTCCCGCGTGAATGAAGCGAGAGGCGCAGCGGGAGGGAGAGGCGGAAGAGGGGGAGGGAGAGAATGCGGCGAATGCATGCCTGGCTCTCTACGCGCCCCGCCCCCAGGGTAATGTTTACGAAAACGACGCGGCTTTGCTCCTCCTCCCTCCCGCCCTCTTCTCCGTCTCCTCCAATCAGAACACAGCTTTCTGTGTTCCGGGCCCTGGAGCGGTCGCTATGACAACCGACGCCAGGCTCCGTGCCCCAGCTACACCCCCGGTGCCTGCCTGCTGCTCGGCCAGGACGCAAATGGCTGGGTCCGAGAGAGCCGATCCTCTCGGGGCGCAAATGGCTGAACCCCAGAGCGCCGAGCTACCCCGGGTGGAGACGTGGGGCCCGCCGCCTTCGATGGAGCGATGGAAGAAGTTCCACGTCCAACCCTTAGAGGAACAGCTGGAATACTTCGATTTCGACCCTCGGTAACTAGGGGCTCCCGAGCGCCCCGCGGCAGACGCCGTTCCTGTAAACCTAACCTCGGGCTTTGGGAAGCGCTCCCAGTCCGGTCCTTGACCTTCGCCCGAAATGCATCTCAGGAACACCTTAGACCTCACAGCTCCCAGCCCTCCGGCCTCCCTCTGGTCCAGGACCGTGCCTCAGCACGCTCCTCCGTCCTCCGTCCCTGTCCCTCCCAGATATCATCGGCTTTGTACACTCACACCTGCAAGGGACCTTCAGAGGTCACCAAGTCCAACCCCCTCCTATTACCGAAGAGGAAACTAAGGCCAGAGTGACAAGGTCACACAGTGTCAGAGTCCAGACTTGAACCGAGGGTCCCTGACTGCAAAGACGATCTTGATTTCTGCCATTTCATATTCTATAACCTTTGGTATCCTCGACTCCCCCAAACTCATGACCAAGAGCAGAGCTCCGAGTGGACCGAGAACAGAACTAGCCGAGTTCTTGTAGTCCAGGTGCTCTAGGCGGAGACTGTTAAACCTTGTATATGTCATAGAACCCTTCGGCTGCCTGGTGACACTTAAGGACCTCTTCTCTGGATAATGTTTTTAAACGAATAAAATAAGACACAAAGGATTACAAAGGAAACCAATTATGTTGAAAGACAGTTATCAAAATATTTAAAAAGACAAGTCCACTGGCAGTCAGATTAAGAACCCCTGCTCTAGTGAGTCTATACCTGCTCACTAAAGCCCTTTTCTAAAGCTAGAGCCTCTTGATTCTATTTCAGGGGCAATTATTCAATAATGGGAAGAGGAAACTTTGAAAAATATTATTTTATTGATAAAAAAAATCTTGTGTTTTTACATCATTTCTAACTACATCCCTTCATTCTACCCTTTCCAAAACCTTGTAACTAAGATTAAAAAAGATTTTTTAAAGCCAATTTGGCAAGCCAGAGCACACTAACTTCATATATAAAAGAATAAAACACTCTTAATGCAAGATACTAGAAGATAGAGTGGTGTAGTGGGGGAAACAATGACAAACCCTCCCAAAAATGTTAGCCCTTGGAGTCAGGATCAGAAATTTAGGGCTGGAAGGGACCTCAAAGGTTATCATTTTACAGATGATGAAACTGAGAATCACCAAGGGGGGCCTGGTGAAAAGTAGCAGAGTATTTGGACCAGGTCCTCTGACTTTAAATCCAGTTTAGACCAGGAGCCCTCCTTATCTAGGTTCCAAATTTCAGCTCTGCTATTTATACCACTGTAAGCTTAAGGAAGTGGTTTAGTCTCTATGGGACTCAGTTTTCTCATCTGGTTAAAAGGAGAGGATGGTACCAAATGGTATCAATAGTCTATTTCAGCTTTACATTTGTTATCCTAACAGGCAAAAGAACAAAAGTGCTTAAAATGGCACTGAACCAATAATCTCTCACTTTCTTATGGTTCACAAGTCCAGTTTAAAATATCCTAGAGACACTGATTAATTCACTATAAACAAATGCCCTCTTTGTCCAACATACACTTTTTCACACTTAGAAAAACACTTTTACTGTAGATAGATAAAACTTGGATCTTAACTAGTTGTAATCTTTGAAGATTCTGGTGGCCATTTTAAAAATAGTATGTGGACATTGGCCAAAATACAAGTTTGGTAAAATTTCATAATGTTAAATACGTTAGAAAAAAATTTGCCAGCACCCCTCATTAAAATAAAAAAAAAAACAGCCACCACCAAGACTACAAATCCCTATAGCCACTAAACCTAAATGTCTATGGCAAATCCTATTTATTGACATAGAATCATATCCTTATTGGTGGAATGAATTGTGTATGTCACAACTTTTAAAAAATAATGACCTTTTTTTTTTTAAAAGGCAAGACAAATACTCAGGAACTTTCCCATCCCTTGCTCACTTTTTCACCCACTCCACTCCCATTTGGCCCCCTAAGAAATGATAGATCCAATGGAAGAGCCATTGATTAGGTGTCCATTGCTTTTTGGTTCCAGGAATTGTTTATTGTCTCTACCTATGAGCTAGGAATCCCAAAGTCCAAGAATTGTTTGAGTGCCTCCAGAGGTATAGATTTGAACAGAAAGCAACAGCTCAGAGTTGAATAAAAAATCCAGACTGAAATCACTGTAGGCTATGAGGGCTCAGGGAAGGTACCATGACAGTTTGGCACCACAGTCTTGGGACTGCAGCTCCTCCGCGGAGAACGGGGTATGGATGCAAGGTTTGATCAAGAGGATTGAAAATCTAACTTTATTAATAAGGGAAGACATTCAGGACAACTAGGTCATGCAGTGGATAGAGTGTCAGAGCTGGAGTTAGGAAGACCTGAGTTCAAATATGGTCTTAGATACTTACTAGCAATGTGACCCTGGACAAGTCACTTAACCCTGTTTGCCTCAGTTTTGTCATCTGTAAAATGAGCCAGAGAAGGAAATGGCAAGCCATTCCAGTAACTTTGCCAAGAAAGCCCTAAAATCACAGAGTTGGACACAATTGAACAACAATAGACATTTCAACTGCCTGGTGAATTTGCTTCTAACGAATTGTGGCAAGGTATGGGGGAGGAGGGGAAAATGGGAAAGGACACCCGCAAATCTTTACATTTGTCAAACATAAGATTACTATAATCATTTAATACTGTGTATTGTACGTCTACTCCATCCCACTGAACTACCTTTCTATTGTCTTAGCCAGCACCAGATAATTTTGAAAATTACTGCCTTACAGTATAGTTTAAGATCTGGTGCTAATAAACCTTCCTTTACATTTTTTTTCTTCCTTTACATTTTTAAAATGAATTCCTTTGATATTCTTGACCTTTGTTTTTCCAAATGAATATCACTATTATTTTTTCTAGCTCAAATACTTTTTTGGTAAATTAATTGGGGTGGCATTGAATAAGTAAATTAATTTAGGCAAAATTGTAATTTTTATTATATTGGCTCTGCCCAGTGATGAACAATTCATATTTCTCCAATTATTTATTTGTATAAAATGTATTTTAAAATTATGTTCATGTAATTCCTGGGTTTGTCTTGGCAGGTATACTCCCAGGTATTTTATATTGTCTAGAGTTATTTTAAATGAGCTTTTTCTATCTCTTCTTGCAGGGATTTATTGGTGATATACAGAAATGCTGATGATTTATGTGGGTTTAGTTTATATCCTGCTACTTTGCTAAAATTAATTGTTTCGACTAACTTTTTGGCTGAATCTCTAGGATTTTCCAAGTATATCATCATATCATCTGCAAAAAGAGATACTTTTATTACCTCATTGGCCATTCTGATTCCTTCAGTTTCTCTTTTTCTTTCCTTATTACTACTGCTAGCATTTCTAATACAATATTGAATAATAATGGTGACAATGGGCATCCTTATTTCACTCCTGATCTTATTGGGAAGATTTCAAGCTTATACCCATTACAAATAATGCCTGCTGATGGTTTTAGGTAGATGCTTCTTATCATTTTAAGGAACGATCCATTTCTACCTATGCTTTCAAGTGTTTTTAATAGGAATGAGTATTGTATTTTGTCAAGAGCTTTTCCTGCATCTATAATACTATTTTTGTTACTTTTGTTCTGAATATAATGTGATATTAATAGTTTTCCTTATGTTAAACCATCCCTGCATTCCTGGTATAAAGCTCACTTGGTTAAAATGTGTAATCTTTGTGATATATTGTTGTAGTCTCCTAGCTAGCATTTTATTTAGGATTTTTGCATCCCTATTCATTAATGTAATTGGCCTATAATCTTCTTTCTCTATTTTTGCTCTTCCTGGTTTAGATACCAACACCATATAAGTTTCATAAAAGGAGTTTGGTAGGACTCCTTCTTTGCCTATTAATCCAAATAATTTAATGCTGGAATTAGTTGATCTTTAATTGTTTGGTAGAATTTTCTTGTAAATGTATCTAGTCCAGATACTTTTTTCTTAGGAAGCTCATTTGTGTGGCCTGTTCAATTTCTTTTTCTAAAATAGGTTTATTTAGATATTCTATTTCTTTTTCTGTTAATCTAGGTAGTTTGTATTTTTGTATTTTTCCATTTTACTTAAATTGTTAAATTTATTGACATAATTGGGCAGAGTAACTGCTTATAATTGCTTTGATGTCATCTTCATTAGCGGGTTTTTTTTAATCATTTATGATACTAGTGATTTGGTTTTCTTCTGTTTTTTTGAATATCATATTAGCCAATGATTTATCTATTTTATTTTTTTTTATAAAACCAACTCCTACTTTTATTCATCAGTTCAATAGTTTTCTTATATTCAGTTTTATTAATCTTACCTTTAATTTTTAAGATTTCCATTTGATGTTTAATTGAAGATTTTTTACTTGTTCTTTTTCTAGGTATTTTTTTAAATTGCATACCCAATTCATTGGTTTGCTTGTTCTCTACTTTATTGATATAAGCATTTAGAGATATAAATATTCCTCTCATCACTACTTTCGCTGCATTCCATAGGTTTTGGTATATTGCCTCATTATTGCCATTCTTTTTAATGAAATTATTGATTGTTTCTCTGATTTATTCTTTAACTCATTCATTCTTTAAGATTAGGTTGTTTAGTGTCCAATTAATTTTTTAATCTGTGTTTCTATGGTGCCTTGTTAAATATAATTTTTATTGTATTGTGATCTGAAAAGGATACATTTAATTTTTCTGCATTTAACTATAAAGTTTTTATGTCCAGATATATTGGCAGTTTTTCTAAAGATATCATGTATCACTGAGAAAAAAGGTATATTCCTTTCTATTCCCATTCAGTTCTTTCCAGATAACTATCATATCTAGCTTATTTAAAATTCTATTAATCTCCTTGACTTCTTTCTTATTTATGTATTTTTGTTAGATTTATCTAGTTCTGAGAGGGGGAGGTTGAAGTCCCCCACAATTATAGTTTTACTATCTATTTCAAACTATAATTCATTTAGCTTTTCCTTTAAAAATGTGGGTGCAATTGGTGCATATAGGTTTAGTATTGACATTAC